AAATTTGAATTTTCTCAGGAATATGAAAAAGAGTATCACAAAAGTGAAGAGAATCTTTCTTCTCTGGTATGGATTTGTACATCAACCCACTCCAGTAGTAAAGTAACTGTGATTGATGCTAATAACCCAGCTGACATCCTAGAGTCTTTCCATGTTTGTTCCTCTCATCTCCTGTGTATAACCAGCGTGCCTGGTAAGTTATGTTTGATCATTATAACAGTTATTGCTGTAGGTGGTTAATGACCCAGATGACATTATTTTAAAGGTAACTCTGAAGTTTTTGTCATGTTTAATTACATCTAACATATTCTTGTATGTTGGAAAATAAATTAATATTGAAATCTCTTCTTTGTGTATAACAAATTTTGTAAATTAAAACCCTTTTTTTTTAAACTTAAGAGTTCATACTTTTTCTACATACACGTAATTATTTCTTTATCTCGTGTGTTATGTGAATACATTTTTGTAACATCAAAAACTTAAATAGTGTAATTAAGTAGTTTTCATCTTGACTGATTAGCAGATATTTTCTGTAGTTAACTTGTTAGCAGATCTTATATTCTTATGGCTCATAAATAAAACTGATTAGTAAATATGTTTTACAAATAATCTGTTAGCTGATCTTGTATTTTATGACTCATAATTAAACACCTATTGAAATGGTTTGACAGCCACTAAAGTGTAAGTTCATTGAAAATGTCACTTTCATGAATGTGAGTCAGGATTCACCTTGTAATTTACCCACAATTATTGTGGTTTCGAAAACACCTAAGGACATCAGCCAATGTTGTGATAAAGTGGAGAGAGAGGAATTATTGTTCAATTACTTCAATATAAACATTCTCATGAGAGGTTCTATAAGATGTTTTGGATTTTGTGAGACTTGTAAATGTGGTCAGGTTATGTATAATATGATATAAAAGGATAACAGGAAACAAATGTTATTTCAAAAACATTTTATCTCGCTGCTTATTCATAACATTAGCAAGTTGTCAAATTTGTAATTATTTTGCATGTTTATATTATTATGTATTTTTTTAAATATTGCACAGAGCCTTTTATTGAACTTATTCTTAGTTAAAATAAGAAAATATTTTTGCACTGACAAATACGTTTATGTAATATGATATTTTAATCAGCTTATGGTAAATACAACTGGATATATAAGGTATAGAAAACACTATTATTTTTCAAAGCAAGAATAAAAGCATTTTTTCACTATTCAACATATTAATGTTTCAAAGGATATGCATATATTCTAAATAAAGCTGTTGGTGTAAAGCAAATGTGACTGTATCATCAAACACAGATGTTGTTCTAGAACAAACATGACTGTATCATCAAACAAAGCAGTTGGTGTAAAACAAACAAACACGATTGCATCATTAATCAAAAATGTTGGTGTAAAACATTTGACTGTGTTATAAAAGTGTTAGTGTAAAATAGTATGACTATCATAAAACAGCTGTTGATGTAAAATAAACATTACTGCATCATGAAATATAGCTGTTGTTGAAAAAATATGACACAAAAAAGATTAGAATAGTTCTTGATTTTTTCCCTCTTGTTCCGTCAACAAATAACCTAAATTGTTTTTATGAAAATGACTGAATATTTATGATAAACATCTGCAAGAAACAAAAGGAATTATTTGATAAACTAACCAGTATGTTTCAGTTCAAGAAATAAACCAATAAATTGTAACTCAACTTATTTAAATTCTGTTCTGTTTCTTGATCAAATAAACTATATTTATACCATAAGCTGTGATAGTAGAACCGGAAAATGTTTGTTTTGCTTGGATATAAAAATTATTCCAGAATTATGGTATGAAAAAAAAATGTATTTATGGAAAAGATAAAGTATGGAAATTTATTTCTTAGTCTCAAAAATACATAAAAATTTTAAATAAATTAAAAGCTATTTTCATGAGTAAATATGTTATTTTTTAGAATGTATTGTACTGTATACAGAAATGTGTTATGTAATATATTGTGTATTTTGGAGAAAGAAAAGAGGGAACAATGTTGTCTTGAATGTCTGCACACTGACAAGAGTGAAGAGTTATATGACACTTTGTCTTTTCTTATTATACAGGAGCCAAGGAAACTGACTATCAGATGGATGAAAAGTTGAACAATCTACCTCAGAACAAAAAGGTTGTGAAAGTAAAGGGAAAGGTTTCTTGTATAGCTCGCAATGACAAAAAAGGAGAAATCAATAGTAGCTCTAGTAAAATTGGTAACATCACATTTATTAGTTGTGAAACAGGAACAGCCTCCAACAAAAGTCAACCTACAGAGTCATCTCCACAAGGTACTGTTGTGATATATCTGTGTGTGGTAGTAAAGTAAGCATTTATTTTTCTTTAGTAGTAATTTTATCCTGCCAAAACATGACATACTTCAGATTGTTGGGCTTTTCCTCACCTTAACCTCAGTTATTCTGTCAGTAGGATAACTAGGAAGTAATATGTAATGTAACTAGGTGTAAGAGATGTAGCAACATTGAGTAAAATCCTGGCTCAAACATCAGTATCACCCCAATTTTTTTTTATCTAACCTAAAAACTGTCTCACCAGTAGGAAGTAGTCCGTGACATAACTGGGTGTAAGAGACATAGCAACATTGAATAGGAACTTGCTTGAAAAATTTAATCTCAAACGTTTTATTGTGCATAAAATGTTAATTCAGATCATTCTGTGAACTTTATATAACTAATTCGAATGCCTTTAATGAAAAATAAAAAATACTTAACATTCGGTAAAGCATTGACCTTTAGTTTTTATACAGCAGATAAAGAGGAGGACAAAGAAAATTCCTCAGCAGTCCCTCCTCAGATGGATGTTACCAGAGAAGATGTCACTCTGCAAGTAGATGGTAAAAAAGAATTTGGTCAACCAAAACAAAGTTCACAATCAGATCTTGCCAAACATAGTATGCCAGCATTACCCCAACAGAACCAGAATGCTAATGATCAAACTGAGAAAATGTCAAGTGTGTTGCCAACAATGTGGTTAGGAGCACAGAATGGCAGGTATTGTTAACAGAGTTAGATGACTACAGCAAACATTATAACATTCAGTGTTAGGTAATTTTCAAATTTAGTTTTGAGAATTTAATATAAAGAAGATCAACTTAATATTAAAGTTTTTATCTAAGTTAACTATTAACCAGATCGTTAAAATGAAAAATAAGATACAAATTTTAAAATTACAATAAATATTTAAGTATTAGAATGATAATAGAAAAACAAAATGTGTGTAATATCTCCATGTATTTAACAACAAGAACACAATAAACTAATTAAGAAATGAGGGAAATAATAACACATTTAACTGAAAGGACTATAGAAAGCAACAATAAATATTCAAGCATCATTCTGTTTGTTTTATCTTTTATAAAACAATAAATACTTCTGTAATAATTCAATAATTTGTTATACCACAATGTGAACCATGATACTTAACATGAAGATTAGTTAAACTTGTTGTAAAGAAGGATCGGAAGTTTTGCATTATTCGTCAGTTGGCTGAATTAATAATGATGTTTCTTCTCAAACATTAATTGTATTCTATCTACAATATTGATAAAACCAGCTGTACTTGTAGTATGAATTTTAATCTCCTAGTTGCTGAAGGGATGCGTAATTGAGATTTAATATTTTAAAAGTTTTATATCTTGTATTTTCGAGGAAGATTACACAGCTTATAAGATACAAATTATTGTAATTACTTTTTAGAGAAAACATCATTCAATGTGTACCATATTTATTTCTTCAGCATTTTTGTTCATTCTGCTGTGACTCAGTGGAAAAGGTGTATTCATTCTGTACATCTAAAAGATTCTGTGTTGAGTATTGTGTAAGTACCATTATTTCAATTCATTTTGTATAGTATTAGAATAAAATAATGATGTATGTGTGGTTGTGTACTGTCAACAATGGAAGAAGGAAACAGTTCTATGACATATAACGGTAGCTTCAGTACAGAAAAAATCCCAATAGAATTACAAGCATTGTATTTTACTAAACTATTATACTTCATGAAAGTATGCAAAGTAAAGTACCAAAAAGAACTGTTAAACAGTTTCAGTTATAGTCTGGACGTAGAATGTTGTTGCCATCACCATTGACTCCACATAAAGCAACAAAGAATGCAGTTCAGTCGCAACTGCAGTACCATTGTTCACTGAATAAGATTATAAAATTTCCAGTTGTAATCAATCATTTCATAGTTGAAAACACATTTATCTTTGCAGAACTTAAAACCACACTTTTCTCAGAATACGTGGTACCAATTGAAGCATTCGGTTCACTTCTCTGAACAGAAAGAATATATAAGATTGCAATTACACACACCACGTTTGTTATTTGACTGGTTGGTTAATCAGTATGATAACTGGTTGGGACCACGGAAGCTCCAACATTTCCATCAAATTTGTTGAGTAAAACTGCATGGCTTTGACCAAATTTTCTGTCAATTCCAACACATTCCCTTTTTAACAGACATTTTACACCCTCATTGTTAACACATGGATTTGTATTCTAAGAAGCCATAAAATAGCCACCCTTTATTGTATGATAAAAAAGGGACCACAACTGAATTTTATGCAAACCGTTTACAGGATAAAATAAATAAATATTTAATTGTATACACAATAACATAAACTACTATTTAGCAAAATAACCATATACATAAGACTACAAAAATAATGACATATATGTGACATATATACTCATATATTTGATGAGAGATTTGTATATGTTTTTATTTTTCAGAGAAAAATACATATACATGTGATAGACAGACACATAAAACTAAATGTGGAAAGGGTAAATGTACCCTAGTAAGGTTGGGATAAACCATCTATGAGATTTAACCCATTTGTAGTAAAGTAACGTCAGCATGATATATATATATATGTGTGTGTGTGTGTGTGTTGGAGCAGGTGTGAGTGATAAAACCCACAATGTCTCACATCTAAAACTACCACTCACATTTTTGCATTGAGTTTTGGGAAGTTGATTGTTCATAATGAAACTAAAAAACAGGAAGAATAAAACATATTACTGTAAAAGAACCTCTGGGGGTCATAAATGAAACTTCTGAAATTGGTGTTCCGTGTCTCTCCTTGTATGGAGAGAAGAGATACCAGCCATACCTATCTCAGCAGAATCATTTTAAACCCTATATTATAACATTACAATCATACTCTTTAGGTTATGATTCTTTTTAACATTTTGTAGGATTGATATAACACCATCTGGTATATTGACTATCAAAATGAAATGAAACATCAGCAAGATCATAGTCATTTAAACATTTGTACTTCTGAAGTTGTACTCAAATGTTTTCATAACATTGAATGAAATATGGTCTAATCAGAATATGTATTAACTCTCTCAACATGGGGTTGGTCAATTTGACCGAGTCATGTGACCTTTTGTACTTGTTTAAAGTCTTTATAAATTAATACTTATAACTCTATATATATTGGGTATATCTTCATGACATTTGGCAGTCGTTCAGTTAATGTTACAAGTCTTTCACGTACAAAATGTCATATTTTTAGTTAAGTATTTTTAATAAAATAAAATAAAGATTTGTCCATCAATATACTGAATATTTGTTTTGAATAGTCCGTGTGTGTAAAGTAATTTTCATGTTAAAATTAGAAATACTTTTTGGCATCTCAAACATCTCAAATTTCCTTTGTATAATCCCTAAAACCCTCTAAATACATTTCAGACGTTTTTTTTTTTACTAAATCCTTATAGTCTGTTATTTTCTCTACCTGATCTCAAAACTGGATTGGTCAATTCAACCGACCTTGTAACCACCAAAAAAAATAAATAAAATAAACCTAAATTAACCTTTTTTTTCTTTCTAGAATGACTTCAAATTGTAACATGAAACTACATTCATTTATCCTAAGTAGCTTTAAGTTCGTAACAGTATACATCTATTTATAATTAAATTTTATTGTTTTATTGCCCTCTGAACCATTTCTAACTACTTTCTGTTCCATTATAAGTTGTAAATCACTTGGGGAATGTGCAGCTCAGTTATGTTTTCAAATTATGTTACCCACGAGCTGCACGAGTGCATGCCTCTTTAACCATTTTAATTATATTATTATTATTACTTATTTTACTTACCTAGTCTTAAATAACTTAAAAAGATCTGTACTTTAAATTATTT